GCTCTCAGTGGCCCTTATAAACCCAACAACAACAACACGACCACCACTCCTCACATACATAATGACATTTTATTCATTCCAGAGTATATATCATGTTTCTATTTTATTAACCCTTTGGGGGTTTCGGACGTACTAGTACGTCACACTTCACAGACACGCACATGCATATATATATATACATACATCTAGGTTTTTCTCCTTTTTCTAAATAGCTCTTGTTCTTTTTTATTTCTTCTATTGTCCATGGGGAAGTGGAAAAGAATCTTTCCTCCGTAAGCCATGCGTGTCGTATGAGGCGACTAAAATGCCGGGAGCAATGGGCTAGTAACCCCTTCTCCTGTATACAATTACTAAAAAAAGAGAAGAAGAAAAACTTTATAAAACTGGGTTGCTTAAATGTGCGTGGATGTAGTGCGGATGACAAGAAACAGATGATTGCTGATGTTATGAATGAAAGAAGTTGGATGTCCTGGCCCTAAGCGAAACAAAGCTGAAGGGGGTAGGAGAGTTTCAGTGGGGGGAAATAAATGGGATTAAATCTGGAGTATCTGAGAGAGTTAGAGCAAAGGAAGGGGTAGCAGTAATGTTAAATGATCAGTTATGGAAGGAGAAAAGAGAATATGAATGTGTAAATTCAAGAATTATGTGGATTAAAGTAAAGGTTGGATGCGAGAAAGTGGGTCATAATAAGCGTGTATGCACCTGGAGAAGAGAGGAATGCAGAGGAGAGAGAGAGATTTTGGAGAGATGTTAAGTGAATGTATAGGAGCCTTTGAACCAAGTGAGAGAGTAATTGTGGTAGGGGACTTGAATGCTAAAGTAGGAGAAACTTTTAGAGAGGGTGTGGTAGGTAAGTTTGGGGTGCCAGGTGTAAATGATAATGGGAGCCCTTTGATTGAACTTGTATAGAAAGGGGTTTAGTTATAGGTAATACATATTTTAAGAAAAAGAGGATAAATAAGTATACACGATATGATGTAGGGCGAAATGACAGTAGTTTGTTGGATTATGTATGGTAGATAAAAGACTGTTGAGTAGACTTCAGGATGTACATGTTTATAGAGGGGCCACAGATATATCAGATCACTTTCTAGTTGTAGCTACACTGAGAGTAAAAGGTAGATGGGATACAAGGAGAATAGAAGCATCAGGGAAGAGAGAGGTGAAGGTTTATAAACTAAAAGAGGAGGCAGTTAGGTAAGATATAAACAGCTATTGGAGGATAGATGGGCTAATGAGAGCATAGGCAATGGGGTCGAAGAGGTATGGGGTAGGTTTAAAAATGTAGTGTTAGAGTGTTCAGCAGAAGTTTGTGGTTACAGGAAAGTGGGTGCAGGAGGGAAGAGGAGCGATTGGTGGAATGATGATGTAAAGAGAGTAGTAAGGGAGAAAAAGTTAGCATATGAGAAGTTTTTACAAAGTAGAAGTGATACAAGGAGGGAAGAGTATATGGAGAAAAAGAGAGAAGTTAAGAGAGTGGTGAAGCAATGTAAAAAGAGAGCAAATGAGAGAGTGGGTGAGATGTTATCAACAAATTTTGTTGAAAATAAGAAAAAGTTTTGGAGTGAGATTAACAAGTTAAGAAAGCCTAGAGAACAAATGGATTTGTCAGTTAAAAATAGGAGAGGAGAGTTATTAAATGGAGAGTTAGAGGTATTGGGAAGATGGAAGGAATATTTTGAGGAATTGTTAAATGTTGATGAAGATAGGGAAGCTGTGATTTCGTGTATAGGGCAAGGAGGAATAACATCTTGTAGGAGTGAGGAAGAGCCAGTTGTGAGTGTGGGGGAAGTTCGTGAGGCAGTAGGTAAAATGAAAGGGGGTAAGGCAGCCGGGATTGATGGGATAAAGATAGAAATGTTAAAAGCAGGTGGGGATATAGTTTTGGAGTGGTTGGTGCAATTATTTAATAAATGTATGGAAGAGGGTAAGGTACCTAGGGATTGGCAGAGAGCATGCATAGTTCCTTTGTATAAAGGCAAAGGGGATAAAAGAGAGTGCAAAAATTATAGGGGGATAAGTCTGTTGAGTGTACCTGGTAAAGTGTATGGTAGAGTTATAATTGAAAGAATTAAGAGTAAGACGGAGAATGGGAAATAGCAGATGAACAAGGAGGCTTTAGGAAAGGTAGGGGGTGTGGGGACCAGGTGTTTACAGTGAAACATATAAGTGAACAGTATTTAGATAAGGCTAAAGAGGTCTTTGTGGCATTTATGGATTTGGAAAAGGCGTATGACAGGGTGGATAGGGGGCAATGTGGCAGATGTTGCAAGTGTATGGTGTAGGAGGTAGGTTACTGAAAGCAGTGAAGAGTTTTTACGAGGATAGTGAGGCTCAAGTTAGAGTATGTAGGAAAGAAGGAAATTTTTTCCCAGTAAAAGTAGGCCTTAGACAAGGATGTGTGATGTCACCGTGGTTGTTTAATATATTTATAGATGGGGTTGTAAGAGAAGTAAATGCGAGGGTCTTGGCAAGAGGCGTGGAGTTAAAAGATAAAGAATCACACACAAAGTGGGAGTTGTCACAGCTGCTCTTTGCTGATGACACTGTGCTCTTGGGAGATTCTGAAGAGAAGTTGCAGAGATTGGTGGATGAATTTGGTAGGGTGTGCAAAAGAAGAAAATTAAAGGTGAATACAGGAAAGAGTAAGGTTATGAGGATAACAAAAAGATTAGGTGATGAAAGATTGAATATCAGATTGGAGGGAGAGAGTATGGAGGAGGTGAACGTATTCAGATATTTGGGAGTGGACGTGTCAGCGGATGGGTCTATGAAAGATGAGGTGAATCATAGAATTGATGAGGGAAAAAGAGTGAGTGGTGCACTTAGGAGTCTGTGGAGACAAAGAACTTTGTCCTTGGAGGCAAAGAGGGGAATGTATGAGAGTATAGTTTTACCAACGCTCTTATATGGGTGTGAAGCGTGGGTGATGAATGTTGCAGCGAGGAGAAGGCTGGAGGCAGTGGAGATGTCATGTCTGAGGCAATGTGTGGTGTGAATATAATGCAGAGAATTCGTAGTTTGGAAGTTAGGAGGAGGTGCGGGATTACCAAAACTGTTGTCCAGAGGGCTGAGGAAGGGTTGTTGAGGTGGTTCGGACATGTAGAGAGAATGGAGCGAAACAGAATGACTTCAAGAGTGTATCAGTCTGTAGTGGAAGGAAGGCGGGGTAGGGGTCGGCCTAGGAAGGGTTGGAGGGAGGGGGTAAAGGAGGTTTTCTGTGCGAGGGGCTTGGACTTCCAGCAGGCATGCGTGAGCGTGTTTGATAGGAGTGAATGGAGACAAATGGTTTTTAATACTTGACGTGCTGTTGGAGTGTGAGCAAAGTAACATTTATGAAGGGATTCAGGGAAACCGGCAGGCCGGACTTGAGTCCTGGAGATGGGAAGTACAGTGCCTGCACTCTGAAGGAGGGGTGTTAATGTTGCAGTTTAAAAACTGTAGTGTAAAGCACCCTTCTGGCAAGACAGTGATGGAGTGAATGATGGTGAAAGTTTTTCTTTTTCGGGCCACCCTGCCTTGGTGGGAATCGGCCGGTGTGATAATAAAAAAAAAAAAAAAAATAAAATAGTACGTCTTACGACCCAGGGTTTTTGATGTACTAGTACGCCTAAATTCTAGTGCCCTCAAATCTAGTGAGGGAAAGCTGGTAGGCCTACATATGAAAGAATGGGTCTATGTGGTCAGTGTGCGCAGTATAAAAAAAATTCTGCAGCACACAGAGCGTAATGAGAAAAAAAAACTTTTTGTTTTTGGATTAAAACAGCGACTTTGCACTGTATTTTCGTATGGTATTTATTCTTGTATTCTAGTTTTCTTGGTCTTTTATAGAATGGAAGACATATTACAGAAATTGAGATGATTTTGACTGGTTTTACAATGAAAAGTACCTTGAAATTGAGCTCAAAGTAGCAGAAATGTTCGATTTTTACCAAAGTTCAAAAGTAAACAAATCATGCCAAGCGTCCAATACACATCAACTGGTGAGTCTAATATTCTTTCACAAGTGTGCTGATATTATTTATACCATTTCTACACTAATGCAGTAGTCTGCATAACAGTAAATCTTATTTTTTTTTTGGAAGAACAAAAATTCAAAGTGGAAAGCCAAAGAAATATAAGAGAGGCCTGGGGATGTGACTAACGAACAGAGAACTTGTTATTTTAGTGCCAGGAATATCTTTCTTGTTTATTCTGGACCCTATTTGGAAATTGGTATCTTTTGAAATCTCTGTGAAATTGGCAAAATTGCTAAATTCTGACCACTTTATTGCATAGTTGAAATCGGTAAATGGGTGGTTTCTTGTACTCATTCGATAGAAAAAATGGAGTTCTAGTGAAATAGTTATGATTTTTGTTGACTAGTACACTGGAATTGGCCGAAAATAGGGCTCAATGTGGGCAAAATCGCCGATGCATTAACATCGTCGAGACCGCTAACTTCGCGAGAGCATAATTCCCTAAGTTTTTCATCAAATTTCATACTTTTGATGTCAATATGATCAGGAAAAGATTCTCTATCTTTTCATAAGATTTTTTTTTTTTTTTTTAAATTTGGCCGTCCCTGAGAACAAGTCTCTGAGAGAACCTGTCGACCCCCAAAGGGTTAATATTGCTTAATATGTCATAATAGATGAATTGTGATAGATTAATAAGCTGTGGCATATAGTTAGTCTCTATAAAATGTATTTTTTGTTATACTTTTGTTTATACTTTTTTGTTATACTTTTGGTGTCTGAAACGGGTTAATTGGATTTACATTACTTCTTATGGGGAAAATGGCTTCAGTTTTTATGAATTTCACATTTCATCAAGTTTCTCAAGAACGGATTAATTACAAAAAGAGATGGTCCACTGTATATTAAACTGAGGTCTGCTGATTTGCGGTTTCACTGTACTGTATATACTGCAGATAAATTAATAGAAATGAAAGTTAAATAAGAGGACAGAAAAAAAAAGAAAATTAAAAAGGATAAAAATAATGAAAAAACTTATCTTACTGTTCAAGGTTGTCCTGAAGACAAGTTATTTCATCTCTAGGTCCAGTATGGTCAGAGCAGAATTTAGCCAGGTTATCCATACAAACATTCTCTATCTCTGGATGTAGGTCCACATAAGCTGCTCTCTCATGCATCACACGCTGAACCTCTTGCATACAGTTGCTGCTTAACTGTAGAAGGGAGATCCAATGTTATGTAAATTAAAATAAATTAAATGAAATAATTATGTATTCATAAAAGAAACACCATTTTAAAGGGATAAAATAATGTCAAAACAGATTAAAATATGAAGAATAAAAGTTAGTAGAAAAAAAAAAAATACTATATATATCAAACACCCCTCAGAGACAATGAAAGACTATTACAGCCTCTCCTCACTTAGCAACATACTACTCGTTTACAAACGACTCAGACTTGGGACCGGCTCTCTGACCAGTATGCATACCTAAACAATGTATATTAATGCTGATTTCCTCTATTCTGTTTATGATAATATACAGCTCACTATTGTATAAACATTTAAAAATATACTAGAAATGTTATAAATGGCACAAAGGTGACATCAAAATAATATCTCCTCTCCTAACGACAAATTCGTTTACCGAAGTGGTCTTAGGAACGGAAATCTGTCGTTAAGTGAGCAGAGGCTGTATTCACAGTTTCTGTAGTGCTGTGATATTCAAATTTAACAAATTGTAACTTTCTGTCCTTCTATTAACATATAAACAAAACTCAGTATCTTTAAGGAATACTGATGAAGGCATAAGTTTAGAGATGGATAGGGAGAGTGAAGGCTTTCAGTAGCACAGGTTCATGCACTGAGCAAGCATCTATAAATGTTTTAGTTCAAAGTGAGTGGAGATAAATGGTTTGGAGATACAGTGGACCCTCCCTTTTCATTGATCTCCTTTATCACCAATTTCTGCTTTTGTTAGCTTTTTTTCGTCGATATTTTGGTTCTGTTTTCGTCGATGGTACGTAACCTGTCTAGTGCCCGGCGCACAGACAAAGCCACCTCCCTCACGCATTCTCAGGCAGTGTTGTGTTGTTTCTCGGTTAGTGAACATATCCTGCTAGGTCATATGAAACATTTCATAATAATCCATTGTTTTTGGCACTTGTTTATTGTGTGTGACTACTAAATAAGCCACCACAGCCCCAAAGAAAGCTCCCAGTGCCAGTCCCTTGGTAAAGAAAGTGAGGAACACCGTAGAAATGAAAAATGAAATTTTTAAAAAATATGATAGTGGCATACGCGTTGCTGAATTCGGCAGGATGTACGGGAAGGCACCATCAACTATCAGCTCTATTGTGGCAAAGAGAAAAGAAATCATGGAAGCTGACATTGCAAAAAATGTTAATGCAATAACCAAACAGAGATCCCAAACAAATGAAGAAGTGGAGAAATTGTTGTTGGTGTGGATCAGAGAAAAAGAGTTAACAGGAGATAGTGTTGTGCAGTCAATAATTTGTGAAAAGGCAAAGCAGTTGCATGGCAATCTCAAAGAAACTGCCTGAAACGAGTGCTGATGTTGGTGAATTTAATGGCAGCAAAGGCTGGTTCGAAAAATTCAAGAAGCGAAGCGGCAAACAAGAGGCTGAAAAATTCATGTGGGAATTCAAAGGTTATGGAGAGGCTGAAAAATTTCAAGCCCAACAAGTGTTCAATTGTGACGAAGCAGGCCTGTTTTGGAAGAAAATGCCAAATACGACCTACATCACACAGGAGGAAAAGGCACTCCCAGGACATAAGCCTATGAAAGACAGGCTAAATCTCTTGTTGTGTGGTAATGGTAGTGGGGATTTCAAAGTGAAGTCTTTACTCGTGTATCACTCTGAAAATCCCAGTGTGTTCAAGAAAAAGTGTTGTCAAGAGTAAATTGTGTGATGTGGAAGGCTAACAGTAGGGCATGGGTCACTAGGAAAATTTTCCTGGAATGGTTCAATGAAGTGTGAAGAAATACCTCCTGGATAATAAAGTGCCACTCCAGTGCCTCCTGTTAATGGACAATGCTACTGGTCATCCTCCCGACTTGGAAAACCAATTGTCTAAGGAATTCAGTTTTGTAAAAGTGAAGTTCTTGCCTCCTAACACCACTCCTCTCATCCAGCCACATGGACCAGCAGATCATTGCAAACTTCAAAAAACTGTACACCAAAGCAATATTTCAAAGGTGCTTTGACATAACCTCGAACTCTGAATTGACCCTAAGAGTGTTCTGGAAGAATCACTTCGGTATCTTCTACTGTATAAGCCTTATAGATAAGGCTTGGCAGGGAGTGACTTCCAGGACGATGAACTCTTGCTTGGGGAAATTGTGGCCTGATTGTGTCCTCAGCAAAGATTTGGAAGGGTTTTAGGGTGACCCTGTCGACCCTACCCCTGTTGTGCAATCAACTGTGGCATTGGGGAATTCCATGGGGTTGGATGTGAGTGGCGAGGATATGGAAGAGTTGGTGGAGGACCACAATCAAGAGCTAACCACTGATGAGCTGCAAGAGCTTCATCTGCAACAGCAACAGACCACAGCTCAGGATAATTCTTCAGAGGAGGAAGAGAGACAGAAGAAAGTGCCTTCTTCAAAGATTAAGGAGATTTGTGCAATGTGGACTAAAGTGCATTAATTTGTGGAGGAACATCACTCTGAGAATGCTGTTGCAATCTGTGCTGGTGACTTTTACAATGACAATGACATATCCCATTTTAGGTAAATCTTAGACACACACTAGAAACAGACCTATCTGGACAGATATTTTGTGCGACAGGGGTCCAGTGACTCTCAAGGGGTGGAGGCCTTTTGTTTTTAGAGATTTTTAACCCTTTCAGGGTCTAGAGGCAAAATTTCAAAGTGTGCACCAGGGTCCAAGAATTTTCAAAAAATAATTTTGTTATTTTTTCTTATGAAATGGGAGAGAATCTTTTTCTGAAGGTAATAAAACAAAAACTACAAAATTTGATGGAAAATTGACGAAATTATGCTCTTGCATATTTTGATGTGTCGGCGATATTTACGCATCAGCAATTTTGCCGACTTTGACTCCAATTTTAGGCCAATTACAGTATTCCAGTCAACCAAATTCTTAGCTATTTCACTAGTATTACTTCTATTCTATCGACTGAGCACAAGAAATCGCCAAGTCAACTGTTTCAATAACAAAATAAAGTGACTGGAAACTGGTAATTTGGCCAATTTAACGCAAAGCTCAAATATTCCAATTTCAAAATAGAGTCCAAAGTAACAATCAAAGGGGGGATCT